ATTTTTAAAATGTACTAAGTTTGAATTATGTCTGCCATAGGTGTTGAATTCTATGCTGAAAGACATCTGTGCGGCGCTACTGGAAGCCAACGTTAATGTTATGCTAGTCAAAAAACTTAGGGAGAATGTACGTAATGTTATTGATTTTGACGAGATGGCTGGAGGTTTGAACAAGAGGCGCATGATACAGAGCGCTGTATTCAAAGAATTAGTGAAAGTATGAYATTGCATACTCGCAACTCGACAATAGTTTGTTTTAATCTCACACTAATTCTGATTTGTTTGCAGTTAGTTGATCCTGGTGTAAAATCTTACCAACCAGTTAAAGGCCGACCAAACATAATTATGTTTGTCGGTCTACAGGGATCTGGTAAAACAACAACTTGTACCAAATTGGCATATTATTATTTAAAAAAAAATTGGAAAACTTGTCTTGTGTGTGCGGACACCTTTCGTGCTGGAGCTTATGATCAGTTGAAACAAAATGCTACTAAAGCCCAAATACCRTTTTATGGAAGGTTTGTTAAATAATTTAGCTCTCAGTTATTTATTATTTTTTATAGAATTTATTCAAATTCTATATWAATTMATATAGAATTTGAATAAATTTAATATTAAAGGAAAAATGTTGGATGAGGATGCTTGGTGAATCACCCTGTATATTAAATATTCATACAAGTTATTTTATATCTAAATTTTATTATTTCCATTTATTAAATGTTAATTATTATTTCAGTTATACTGAAGTAGATCCTGTTGTGATAGCTCAAGATGGTGTAGATATGTTTAAAAAAGAAGGTTTTGAAATAATTGTTGTTGACACTAGTGGACGACATAAACAAGAAGCTTCTTTATTCGAAGAGATGTTACAAGTGTCAAATACTATTGTGAGAAAACTTTAAAATAAAATGTTCTAATATTTCATTWAAATTTCATGTAATATTGWTAATCTATTTCAGAAACCTGATAACATAGTATTTGTTATGGATGCAACAATTGGTCAAGCTTGTGAAGGACAGGCTCGAGCTTTTAAAGATAAAGTCAACATTGGTTCTGTAGTAATCACCAAGCTTGATGGCCATGCAAAAGGAGG